CTGTCTTTAATTGAAATAAAATCTTTGTACTTATGGAAATTGCATATTTAACTTAACTTGACTTATTAAGCTTTCATTTAATGTGTTCCATGTGAAAGAGAACAGATTATTTACATGAAAATGTATGCTTCAAAAATATCTGTTCTTTTAATTCACTGGCAAATTGAGATTCCACTTGGAATACTTAGGACTTTAAATTTTAGCATATTAATTTCAAGTGGATTAAACTGGCTAAAGCTGATCAGGATGCAAACTGAATTATAATACCTAATCCAAATCTAATAGAGAAGACTTGTATGTGAACAATACATTGTAGTGTTGAGTTCTATAACAGAGCTCCAAATTGAATGCTAACAGATTATAAGAGAAAGATTATTTGGACTAGAATAGAAAAACTTATTTGAAGAATTTGTATTTTAACTTGAACATTGAAGCTAGACTTCAAAAGGCAAACTGTAAAAAGTAGCCATTATTTACTATGTCCGTTTTTCTTTTTAATATTCCTAGTGGCTGAATGAAGTATAGCACTATTGTTTCTTTTCAACAACTGACGAAACAAGCCTGAGGGACTAAAGTTCTTGCCCCAGATTCACAGCCCTCTATCCAGAGCCAGGGGCAACAGGCTATAATTAAAGTACACAGTCACACATGGGACCTATATTGTAGGAAGGAAGGTAACTGCATTCAGTGAGTTGGAGACAAGCAGGGAAATTGCCCAGGCCCTTCTGAGGTTCTAAATCACAACAATGGGACAGATACAAAATGGAAAAGAAACTAGTTAGGAACTGCTAAAGGGAGATAGAGGATGACTCAGGTTTCTAATTTTAGTATGGGCACAGATGCTCAGATTCAGAGAAGATACTTTTTAAAGTAAAATTGTTGAGAAAAATACAAATCTAGAAGGAGCCCTGTGGTGTAATTTACTGTGGTTACCCAAAAGTCAAGTCAAATGTGAACTAAAGATGGCTAGGAACTGATTTTTTGGAGGAAATACTAAATTTTTAGAAGCAGTAACTGCAAAGACTGATAATAGGAACTACAAGATACCAAGAGGGGTGTATGTGAAGAAATCAAGAGAATAGGCAGTTCCCAGGAGAGAATAATTAAATTTCAGACATAGCAGAGAGAAGGTAGAAGGCTGCACTATCAGGAGCCAGGCTGCTTCATCCTAGAAATGTGAGAGGAGGGATTATGGGAAAGGGGAGCCAGGGCCAAAAGTTGTGTGCATTCCCTTTCTAGTGTAGGAGACAAGCAGGTGGCAGGTTTATGGGAAATGAGAAACCAGATTAGTATCAAGTCCCGGTGCGCAAACAAGGGCTGTAGCACTATACCTTCATTTTCTAGGCTTTATTGTCTTCACTCAGTCATTGCCAAAAGGCTAAGAAGAAATTGGCTTTGTCTTCTTCAAAACATAGGAAAGCGCCAACGTTAGAAAAATCCCAGGTCAGGTGTGCTAGTGTATACCTGTAGTCCTAATTACTAGGGAGGCAGACCAAGAGTTCCAGGTTAGCTCAGGCAAAAGTTAGCCAGATGCTCTCAAAAACAGAAGGTTTGGGGATATGGTTCAAGTGGTCAAGTGCAAGGTGCTGGATTCAGTCTCCAGTACTGGTGTGTGTTGGGGGGGGGAGTGGAATCCATCTTGCTCCCATTCTCTGCAAGTACTTTAAGAGGTAAATTTCTAAATGCTCACCATCTCTAGTCATAAAGGAAATGCAAATCAAAACCACACTTAGATTCCACCTCACCTCTATTAGAATAGCCATCATCAAAAACACCACCAACATGTGTTGGCAAGGATGCGGGGGAAAAAGGAACCCTAATCCACTGCTGGTGGGAATGCAAGCTGGTACAACCACTCTGGAAAAAAATTTGGAGGCTCCTTAAAAAGCTAAACATAGATCTACCATTTGATCCAGCAATACCACTCTTGGGGATATACCCAAAAGACTGTGACACAGGTTACTCCAGAGACACCTGCACACCCATGTTTATTGTGGCACACTATTCACAATAGCCAAGTAATGGAAACAGCCAAGATGCCCCACTACTGACGAATGGATTAAGAAAATGTGGTATCTATACACAATGGAATTTTATGCAGCCATGAAGAAGAACGAAATGTTATCATTCGCTGGTAAATGGATGGAATTGGAGAACATCATTCTGAGTGAGGTTAGCCTGGCCCAAAAGACCAAAAATTGTATGTACTCCCTCATGTGGACATTAGATCAAGGGCAAACACAACAAGGGGATTGGACTTTGATCACATGATAAAGCAAGAACACACAAGGAAAGTTTGAGGATAGGTAAGACACCCAAAAAACTAGATAGCATTTGTTGCCCTCAATGCAGAGAAACTAAAACAGATATTTTAAAGCAACTGAGGCCAATAGGAGAAGGGGACCAGGAACTAGAGAAAAGGCTAGTTCGAGAAGAATTAACTTAGAAGGCAGCACACATGTGCAGGAAAGCAATGCAAGTCAACTCCTTGTATAGCTATCCTTATCTCAACTAGCAAAAATGCTTGGTCCTTCCTATTATTGCTTATACTCTCTCTTCAACAAAATTAGAGATAAGGGCAAAATAGTTTCTGCCTGGTAGTGAGGGGTAAGGGAGGGAGCGGGAGTGGGGGAGGGAAAAAGAAGGGGATGGGGGGAAGGGAGGAGAAATGGACCAAACAATGTATGCACATATGAATAGAATAAAAATTTTTTAAAAAAGGTATTTATACACAATGGGATTTTACTCAGCCATGAAAAAGAATGAAATCTTACCATTTGTAGGTAAATGGATGGAACTAGAGAACATCATTCTGAATGAGGTCAGCCAAACTCAGAAGACCAAAAATCGTATGTTCTCCCTCATATGCGGACTTTAGATCTAGGGCAAATGCAGCAATGTGGTTGGACTGGGACCACATGACAAGGGGAGAGCACTATTAACCAGGGTAGAGATCATCAGTTAGAGATGAATCAACATGGGTCATAACATGTGTACACGAAAGCAATGGTAGGAATATTTCTGTATAGCTATCCTCAACTAGCAAAAACATTTTGTCTTCCTTATTATGCTTGTCTCTTTTCTTCAACAAAACTAGTGATAAAGGCAGAATAGGACCTGCCTGGAACTGAAGGGGGAAGGGGGAGAAATGACCCAAACAATGTATGCACATGTGAATAAATGAATAAAATTTTTTAAAGGTAAATTTCTGATCAGTAATGAAATGTTCTTTTGATGCTTCGCCTTCTGAAAGGTAATATAAGGTACAACACTCAGTAACAGTTTAAGCCACACTCTGAAAATTAGACTGTGTAAGGTGTCTGAGAAATACTGCTCATAGGAACTTTAAGTCATCTCAATTTTGGCTGCCTTTTCAAATGGTGTCTCTTTTCTACAAAGGGGGTGACTGATGAGCAGTGACTTAATTGCAGAGAACAGTTTTTCCTAACAGTAATTCAAAAAAGTCTCAGTGACTTTCATTAGAGGTAGAATCCATGGTGTAAGGAGATTTTACATGTGAATTGAGTGGACCTGAAAATAGTGTCACTGGAGTTCAAGTACATTGTTTAGTATTGTTATTGTTAAACATAGTGAAAGGTTCACAAAGGTGAACTTCTTAAGATGAAATATTAAGAAGTTTTACTTGGTAGTACTTTTTTTGGGTGGTACTAGGTTTTGAACTCAGGTCCTTGGGCTTGCTAGGCAGACACTGTACCACTTGAGCCACACCTCCAGCCCTAGGTAAAAACATCTTAATCCTCATGGTTTATTGGCACTTTCTCCTATAGAACACCTTAATATGAAATGCATGCATTAAAAATCCAGCACTTTAACATTTCCAATAACTATCTGATTCTTCACCCCGAAAGCACTTTAGAATCAATCAGCTCATTCTCTGGGTTTGAGCCTCAGGCAGGAGGATTTTATCCTAGAAGACTGCACTGTTCAGTGAGGCCAAGAACCTCCTCCACGGAGCACCTTACCTGTACTCCCCTGCCATTGTGTCTCCTCACTGCTCAGCTTCAGTAGCAGCAAAGGTGGAATTGTAATTCAAGCCTTAATATTTGGGCTTAAATGAGAGAAAATGACTACTTCGCTGTGCTTCCTTTTAACAAGGCAAGAAAGAGGCCCAGAACAGATAACAACATGGGGATTTCTTATTTGAAGTCACAAAAAGTTTTCTGAAGCAGGTGTTTTTTTTTTTTTTTTTGTTATTACACTCAAGGTATTAAGACAAGTACAAAATAACCTTGTAATTAAGATACTTTATCAGTCAATAAAAAAGGAGAAACCACTACAGTATGAAGAGATAGCCAAATGACTAATTGTATAAGCTGTGACAATACACAACATGAAATGGGGAGGTTGCTTTCTTTTAGAAATGCTAAATATTCGTAAAACAGGACAAAAAATACAGTGCTTTCAAAATGCATAACCATAAATACATAAAGAAAAGCAGTCTTAACACTACTATTAGCATAACAGACACCATTGCTTCTATTTTAACAGCCTTTGCCAACACATGCCTACTCCCTTTCCTAGCTTTAAGGATAATTTCCTCTAATGAATACTAGGTGCAGCATAACTCTTAAATAATTTCATTTATTTTAAAAGTTACAACCTACAGGGAAATTAACACCTTGTCAATCTAGATAAAACAACGGCAACCATTCCTTACATGCACTTCTCAGAAAAAATCCCCTTGCCTGGTAGGAGAAGGTTATGCTATAGAACTTTCTCCCCCACAGCCACAAATTCCTTCTATGCTACATCCCTGCTACCCTCAACCCCCTATCCCCACACTGGCATTCACCTTTCCCACCCCAAAAAGTGCAGTTCATGGTAGCCTTCCTAGGAAATGGTTTTAATGGGTGTCTCAGCATACATGCTTTTTAAAAAGCCCCCTCTGAATACCAGAGGTGATGAAAATGAATTGTGTTCTTGCATTTTTTTTTTAAACCTTCACTAGGTCAAAAAAAATGTGCTCTGAATACTTGAACTTTTAGGTGTCCTGGGATGTGCTGGGGAAAACACCTCAGTTGCCAGAGACTGAGGGTAAAAAAGTGAAAGAGATGCAGGCTGTGGCCCCCAGTTTGGCTAACCTTCCAGCCCTCTTCCTGGCTCGGTTCTTTCATAGGAACTAGTTATTGCTTCTACAACGCCGTTACAAGGAATGTCCCACAAGTCTGTGATACTGCTCACAGCCTGCCTGCAACGACTCTGCTCTGAAAAACATACCAGCCCAAGAGTTCTTACCAGAGGGAAATTCTTTACCCCGTCAAGGTCACTGAAACTTGGTTAATGCAGTTTAGAGTAAATGTTTAAGAGTTGGCATATGTTAAATGATTATTGGCACAATGTTCTGAGTTTGGTATATAAACTGATTTGCACATGGGCCATAGTCCTGGATGGATCAGCCAATCTGCACCATTTTTATGTCAGCAATAATTCCGTCTCTTCCCTTTGAGCACTGGAGGGAGAGGTGCTTCATCTGGGTCTCCAACACTTGGCCGTCAGAGGAGGTGTTGCTTTGGCTCTTACTCCTGCCACCAGTGCCACTGCTGTTGTTGAGACCTCGATTGTTGTTAGCTTTGTCACTTGTTTTATTCTCTGCTCCTTCTGCCCTGTCTCCTGTAGAGATACAAAGGTTACCACCAAGTGGGTATCTACAGTTCTAAGAGTTACTTAGGCACAAACCGCTCAGCCTTTGGAATTCTTGGTGTTGCTCATCATGCATATCACAAGGGTTTTCTAGCACGTAATGGCCTACTGTTTCTATTCCTCCCAGTGTTTTATATAGTCCTTATCATTAGAGATAAGATTTGTCATTTTCATCTTGTAACTAGGAAACTTCTAGCAGGTGCTTGCCAAGGGGACTGTTCTAAGGAGAGAGACAGAATCTAGGCTCTCCTTGATCAAAGCTGGTGGGGAAGAGCCAGGAGTCCCCGGTGATCAGCACCATCAGCACATTCTTAGAGACTCAGTAATGCAGCCTGGGCACTCCAAAGCTTGGCAAAGTTATGAAACAGGTACACAGGTTGGTTAGCAAAGTCAATGAGTCACCTGGGATAGGGCGAGAGGGCTACAACTCACCTCGTTCTATCTCACATTCAGGGGAGGAGGCCCCACTGCATTCACTTCGAGGGCCCAACACTGGGAACATCATCCCAAATTCTGATAGGGACACAGGGCTGGGCAGATCCAGGCTGCCGGGCCTTGCAACTGCAGGGAACTGGTCAGGCATCTCAGACGGGCTTGTTGGTCCTGAACTAAAGCTGGACACAGACTGGGTTTCCGAGTCATCTTCAGACACAAAGTTGCTACAGTTGTCATCTTCAAAGGCCTCTGAGGCCACTAGGATGAGAGAGAGCACCAGTTACATGGGGTGTGCCAGATAGTAAACTAATTCCTTAAACACCTGCAAATGTGCACTGTACTGGCAGGCAGCTAGACACAGCATTGAGACTGCAGGACCTCTGCTGTGCGGCCATCTGAAAAGACTTTAATCTTCTTGAGCCTGTCTGATAGCCTCTTGGGCAGCATGAAGGGAAAGCAGCTGGGATCCCATGGATAGCCAGTGTTCTTGCAGTAACCTTAAGCTCTGCTCTAGACATGAGAGTCACCAGACATTGCCTAAAGATGGAAGGTGACTGGGGGGTGTATCTCAGTAGTAGAGCACTTGTTTAGTGTGTGTGAGGCATTTGGTTAGATCCCAGCACCTCAGAAAAAATAAATTCAGCTGTAGATAGACCTCTTCTACACCTCAGACCCCAAATAGATACACCTGTACACAAGAAGAGCCACTGGTCTTTTGTAATGTGCCCAAACACAAAGCCAGTCTCCCAAAGAAGAGTTAAGGTCTTCCTCCTTGGGCAAAAATAGCAAGAGCTCCTAGGAGAAACAGCCCTGTATGGAGTATCTACCAGGCAGGACCTTTGTTTTCTTCAGGTAACTTCTGATCTCAAGACATCCTTGGAGCCTATGTACATCACTATTTGCTATAAATAACCAAATCCTTTAACAGTGCTCTCTGGCTTGTGCCTTACTTAGTGTATAGGCCAGAGTAGTCAAGGCCCAGAGACATGTTAATCCCATGCTTTCAGAACCTCTTCAGCATTTAGCTGGTTTTCCTTCTTAACATCTTTCCCATTGCCCTTCACTCTTCCCTCATCTTTAAAAGTGGCCTTGCAGCATTCCGTAGAGTATTGTTATAAATGATAAGTACTAAAATGTTGGGGACAGAAAATGGGCTCGGACCTGAATTCAAATCCTAACTCCACTGCTTACTGTGTAGCTTTGTCAAGTTACTGACCTATCTGAGCTTCATAAATCTACATTAATCAGAAGTAATTCACACATAGTCATTGTTTAGTTCTATTTCCCTAGGACCTGGCACTTAAACATTAATGGACTTACAGAATTCCTGAGAGCCTGGGAACGAGCCAACAGGAATTATTCCCCAGGAAAGGAAAAGCAATGAAGTACTCAGAGACAGTGATGAAGGGTTTTTCTTGCTTCATGTAATAGAAGCTAAGTCACACTATCCATTTTCCAGGGGGTAGCCCTTGAAAGAAGAGGACTGCATGGTCAGACACCAGTGAGAGCCATCACTTGCTGAGTGCTTGCTGGCTGTCAGATGTCACTTCATGTAATGTTAACCACACTATCATACTTCCCTTCTTACAGCCAAAGAAACATGTCATGCACAGATAATGATGTGAAGGCCAGGATTTAAGTCAAATCTGATTGCAAAGTCCCTATTCTTAGACCATTTAACTCTCCTTCAGGACTTCTCAGAACCTTTGACTCTCAGAGCAAAGTGAAGGTATAACATTTCCCAAACTTATTTGACCACAGAATCTTGACTTTGAGTAACATCCAGTTAGCATCTTAATGAACAGTGTTCCACAAAACATGGGAAGCCACCAGAAGCAGCCTGTAGGACTGCCCAACTCTGAAGTCCTTCAGTGATGGGCAGAGAGGATGGGGACCCTGGGAGAAGACAGCTCTGGAAGCAGAGCTTCCACACAAGTTGTGTGATTCTGCACTTGTCTGACTCACCAGAAACAGCATCTGGCTCAGGCTTGCTCCCCAACAGGTCCTCTACAGAGGTGCTACTGCCCTCGGCCCCCACACCGCAGCCCCGCGGCCCCATGGCACTGGAGCGCCGCCTCTCGTGAATCTCATCTGAGATCCTCTCCAGGTTCTTCAGGGCTGTCTTGTACTCTCCTTTTGCCAGGGTCAGTTTGGTCTGTAGATCATCCACTGTCTTCTTCAGTTGCTGGTCAGGAAGATGAGAGGCTCAGCAAGTAACAAGCTGCTCCTGCTGGCCTAGAGATGCTTTTTGAATGATAGATTCATTTTCTGCCTTAGAGAATTTCCCAAGATGTGACTCAGGAAGGACCTGATTACTCTTAGAACATCTACCCATTTACCAGACAGAAAGTCACCACACACACACACCCTGCCTCCCATCCAAGTGACAGAAGAGCAATGGGCAAGTCCCATAGCCTAGCCACTTGGTCACCAGTACAGTGGTTCCCAAGCTTGTATATAAATCCTGGGGGCAGGTTACAACTCATTATAGGCCCTGCCCCCAAGAGGTTCTGATTTGCAGGTGTAGGGTGAGGCCTGGGAATATGCATTTCTAGCACGTCTCCTAGGAGCCCACTGTGAGAACCACTGGACAGTAGAAAACAGTGAACAGCAGCTAGCTTCAAACACCATGGAAGACCAAACCAAGGCCATTTTGAGGTCTGAAAACTCAGTGCCTTCTTCACTCTCCCTTTTCACATAGGTCATTTGAAAGTCTGCTACCACATAAAAATGGGGCTTTGCAGGAAAAAACCATCAGTGAACAATCCAAGGCCAAACATACCTCAAGCTGCACGTAGTACTTTCCTTTGAGTTCAAAATAAGGCCTGCAGAACACAGGAAGGAAAATGGTAAGAATAATGATATCCCAATATATTACCCAAGACAGTATCATAGCATATTGTAGCATATTGTAGCATTAGCTGCCGCTGGCAGGTCGTCTTTCCAAGATTTAATGAACTCTGACAATGCCGTTGTCAGGAAGGTAATGCTGTAACCCCAGGGTCTGACTGACACAGACATCAGACAGAGCTGCTGGGCTCACTCAGGGCCTTGATGACAGGAGGCGCATCACAAGATGGGGCTCCTGAACCTGGTTCACATTCCTCTGTGGGGAGGCTGCTGAAGGTCACATAGGTGTGCCCAGCAGTGAAGGTGGTCTGGATCTGCTGCCCAAAGATAAAGAACAGACAGGGGCTGGGGAATTATCCACCTCTCCTGATGAGGCCAACTCCTTGCTGGGCATAGCAGGGTCACCATGAGCAGTGGTCTCATAGTCCTGCTGGACTGTGGCCAGGGCTGAAGGTATTAGACAGTCAGCAAACCCAACCAGGTTATAGGCAAAGGAAAGGATAAGGAATGTTAACTTTCTCCCACTCCCCCACATTCTGGGTCAGCCCAGGGAGCCCTGCTCTTTTTTGAGCTTTGGTGCCTAAGCACTAGAGTGGTCAATGCTTTACTCCTGATGGTTCACCCTCCAGGAAGCTGAGTCCTGCATCCTCAGAAGCCAGATGGTGACAAAGACATTGCAGGACCCTCTTGGTGGGTAAGGAAAACCTCAACTTGGGAAGAGAGGGGGCAATAGGCCCTCTCAAGTGACCAAGAGGAGCCTGCACAGGTGTGGATAGTGGGAGTGGGCATGAGAACAAATGGAAGATGTTTAGGCAAAAGAAGTAGCAATGGTGGAGATGTGGAGTGGGCCTGGAGGAGGCCTGGGAGTCAATCCATGCAATGCACACATTTGCCTCCTATCCTATAGGCAAGACCTGTTCCTATATTCTTCCAGGAGTTTGCAAAGTAAGGCCATAGGAATTTTGTTTTCTTCCCAGGTTAGTGATGAACGAGTAGGCAGGAGTGGGCAGTGGAGATCAGGGGCATTTGAGAAAAGGCCCATCCTATCCACACCAAACAGAGGGAGCTGTCCCGAAGACTCCTCCCCCAGCTCCCAGGGGTGTTGCCATGTGGACGGCTGTGCTCTCTACTGCAGCCCTCTGCCCCACAATATTCCATACACATATCCAAAGCAAGGGCAATGCAAATGTTAGATGTTATTCTGTACATGGATGTACACATGTATGCTGGAACAGAGTGGACAGAAATCAAAGTGGACAAGCCCAGGAGAAAAATGGGGGACATGGGGTAAGTACAGGTCAGAGGAGGCCAGGCTTTTCTTTGTGGATCTTTTCACCTGAGGGGGTCTTGGCTCTGCCCATCTTCGAGCTGTTCTGATCATCCCAGCCAGCACTGGTGTCCACCCTCCCAGGGACAGGCACGCACGCAGTAGTCCAACACACACATTCCTGTCCATGTCTGCCTGGCTGTTGAGTCCAGGCCATCATATTGGACTTTGCTTGGAGGCCCAGCAATTGCTAATGAAGCAAGGGGCTTGTCTTCAAGAGAGGACAAGCACACTGTGGTTGATCATTACTTTGTAAAAATATGTAGGGTCAATAATAAGAAGAGCTTGGGAAAAGCTCCATTTATACCACTGTTAGGCCATTTTATCAGCTCTTGAACCAGAGAGAACATGTATTGTGAAAACAACTCATTCCCATTATGCTGACAGGTAAACTGAGGGATAGGGCCTTGTCCACACTGTCAGCCACACTGCCAAAGGAACAGCCTGAGTTTCTCAAAGCCAAGCCTGTGGGCCATATAATGGTTTGCTTCTGAAATACCCTTTCTGTGTCTCCCAAGTGGGTCACATCTGAAGTGGCTCACCCCTCAGCATCTCTGCCTTTGGCTCTAGGGTCACACTGGAGGGCAAGGGAACCTGGCAGGGGGCCCTGGTAAGGCCCCATGGTCTATGTCAGTGGTCTGCTCAGGGCCAGTCCCTTAGTGCATGGTGCATAAAAGGTGGAGAAGATGCAGAAGGGAGTGACCCCACACTCCAGGAAGGCTGCACCCAGACTTACTTGGACTTGTTGATAGCTCGCTTGAGCTTCTTCTCCAGCTGCCGCATGCGGCCTATGGCGGCATTGTACCTGGCTGCAGTCTCCTTGTGCACCAGCTCACTCCTCGTCTTAGTCTGCTCCGCCTCCATAACCTTTAAACAACAGCAGAGGCCAACCCTGTCAAACCCAGAACAGCTCCTGGTTGAGGTATTTCGTATATTACTTTTTAAAAACGTTCTTTGAGCTGGGTGTGGTGGTGCACAACTATAATTCCAGCACTTGGGGGGAGGTAGTGGGGCAGGAGGAGCTCAAATTCAAGGCCAGCCTGAGCTACATAATGAGACCCTGTCTCAAAAAAAAAAAATTCTTTGAGTAAGTTAATACACTAAGATTAACTTCCCAATAAGACAGGATCTTTTATTTTGAAAAATCATTGTCAGGTAAGATTAAATAGCCAAGGTGGCTATAGCAATGACTGGAGGAAAAATGGAAAAATAAAAGTGAGACAAAAATTTGAAACACTTGGGTTCAACCAATGCACTATCTTTTGCTCAGACCTCCAGCTCTAAGGAGCCACCTTGAGCTGCCCCTGCTCCTCCCTGGGACAGGCTGCCGAGCAGGCAAATGGCCAGGCAGCACCAAGTGGGATGACTGAGTCATCAAGGGCCTGGGAGAACACCAAAACTAAGCACTAGCAACAGTCAGGTCAACAACGCAACGATGATGGAGTGTGGTCCTTTCCTAAATATCGTGAGTTGGCTGGGCACAGAAAAATTAGGATCCAGAAGGATCGATCAAATTTTACATTAAAAAAATTGAAACTAAAATCCAGTTGTTCATATCAGACTTTGAGGCTCTTAAAAATCCATGACTGCTGGGCACTGGTGGCTCAGATCTATAATCCCAGCTACTTAGGAGGCTGAGATGGGGAGGATCTAGGCTCAAGGTCAACCCAGGCAAATAGTTCTTGAGACCCATCTCCAAAATAACCAGAGCAAAAATGGACTTAGAGGTGTTGCTCAAGCAGTAGAGTGCCTGCTTTGCAAGTGCAAAGCCCTAAGTACAAATCCCAGTCCCACCAAAAAAATGTTTTTCAATCCATGATCAAGATGACGCTGGGCACAGTGGTTGACTCAAGCCTCTAATCCTAGCTACTAGGAAGGCAGAGAGTGCAGGAGGATCATGGTTCAAGGTCAGCCTAGGCAAAAAGTTTGCAAGGCCCCACCTCAACCAATGGCATGGCTTGGTGTGCCTGTCACAAATAGGAGGATCGTGGTCCAGACCAACCCAGGCATAAAAGTGGACCCTACCTCAAAAATAACCAAAGAAAAAAGGGCTGGTGGGATGACTCAAGTGGTAGAGTTCCTGCCTGTCAAGTCTGAGACCCTGAGTTCAAACCCCAGTACCACAAAAACAAAACAAAAACCTTCCATGACCAAGAGATGAGTCAGTTCTGTGGGAATACTGTGTTAAGCCTTTTAATAAAAATGAGTTTAAACAACCAGCAAAGGTTATTGGCCATTGAGGGATGGTCAATATCAAGGCATCAAACGCACGTTCCTGGAGACATGGGCAATAGCAGTTGTTTGCTGAAGAAAAGGCATCAGAACAGAGCCTGATTTGAGGAAAGAGAAAGGAAGTAAAGAACAGCTCAGTCCACATAAGCAACTGGCAATTTCCCCAACTTCCACTTACAGCCAATAGTATTAGAAAACAGGAGCAGAGTTAGGCTAAAGGGCCAGTCTCTACCCAAGGGGCATCAGAAAGGAGCCCAGATGCCATGGTCCTTTGTCCACCTTCTCAGATCCTAGCAGTCATAGTGTCTGTAACTCCAGGTTAAAGGAAAAGCACATAGTAGGAGGTTGCCAGGATCCTGCTATCTCCAGTCAACGGCCAGTCAATCCTGGGGTTCTTTATTCACTAATTGTAAGGATTTTTAAATGTGTGAGGAGAAATGATGAAAGACTGATAGGGGCATAAAAATAACTGGGTGTCCTGTCGAGGAAGTTATCTCTAACTTTGTCTTAGAGCTATGTTACAATCTCATTAGTTAATGAAAACTGATAGTGATACAAATAATTCTTATCCAGAGAGATGAAGATGGATTATGTCCTGGTGAAGACACAATTGATTACTAATTGCCCGGTAATGACCAATTTGGTGTCTGTTTTATAAATTCACTTCAGTACTGCTGATTTTATGAGTCAGTGTTTTTTGAATTCAGACATTCTCAAACTATTCTAACATCTTACGTATTATTTCCCTCCCTAATCAAATAAAATCTTTCCCACGAGAATAGTTGATACATAATTGTATCACAATTATGCATTTACCTTATTTAAGAAATTTATCTTTTAATGAAGGCTTGAGGTAATTTTTAAAACGGAAAAAAAAGCAAAGAAAAGGAAAACAAATAGGAACAGAGCTAGGCTGGCATGAGGTGACATGCTTATTAAGATGACTTTTTAGGGACCAGGAGAATCCTTTTGCCTCCAACACCAAATATTTCACAAGGAAACAAATATCTCATGCTTGACTCCTAAGGAAACAGCAGTAGCTTTTCAGTCTTGTCTAAAATCTTAAACATTACAGATTTATTGGCATTCTTATGAAAACTCGCAACCCCAAGCTTATCAGAACACAAAGAACACTGGGGGTGATATATTCCATTATAAAAAGATCTGATGAAAGGTTCACCTTTAAGGAGCTGTCTGAATGCATTTTAAACACATCAGTTTAAACAATGCAAGGCAAGGTCACTGGACAGAAGTTGTGCCCTGCAAAAAGCAGGGCTCCCCAGCTGCACACAGAATCTCATTCTCCCTCAGCCCCTAGGCTGTAAATGGAAGCAAAGCTTTCTAAAATTAAACAGGCAGAAGCTCCAAGCACTTGGCAATATTTCCAGTGAAGACTGAGGAAACAGCACACAAGCACTAACGCCCACCTCGCCTCTATCAGGCCCCATCTATCATATCCTGTCTGCATACACACCAACATAAATCCATGCCAACCTCCAGAAAGAGACCTCCCCGTCCCCAGCTTCTTGCCTCAAGGGAGAGGGCCACCAAGCATGTCACCTTGGTGCATCTCCTAGGCAACAAGGAATTCCTCCATCTCCAGCTTAGAATCAGGCATGAGCTGTGGGTAGTGATGGTGGGGAAGAAGAGGGTGGCCCAGGGACAGGCTTGGCTGGAAGGCTGAAACAGCAGGGGACAGGGCCAGAGCTGCAAGAAAGCAGTAATGAAGACTCCATCAAGATAGCTGTGACTGGCCTGAGCAACTAGACGTGTTTCTGCAGCTCCACCCCAGGTTTCTCTGGGGTGACCCCTGGCCCCCTCCAAGCCCATGTTAACCAGGTATTTGGTCTGGACTCCAAGAACCCTGTTCCCATCTCTGTAAGGCACCCTATCGTTTTACCACAACATTCAATTAGAGCTGCGTACGCTGATTTAAGTTCCCACTGGGAGTACAGCGCTGCACAAGGACACTCGGGATCAGACCCTGGCTGTCAGCCTGGCGGGATATGGGCTCTCAGCAGCACTGTCTATTACCCAAGGCAGCGGGGGCTTCAGGTGGCTGGGATGGCTGTGGCAGCTCACAGGGGCTATGGCAGCAGAGGTGGCATTAGAGAGAGTTCTCAGATACATAGCATTTTGGAAAATGGACAGGACAGAGGAAACACTTTGACACAGGCTCTAATCACATGTAATCACAGGTCCCTAAGTCTCACAAGATGACCACACAGGCCATACAAAAGCAAGCAGGCAATGGAAGTATCCAGGTGAGCTTAGCTGAAAGAACTGTCCAAAATGAGCAAGGGCTTCACCACTTCCAAGTGGTTTAGACCTCTGTCTTCAAGGGGGCTCTGTCCTGGCACTAATCCCACAAGCTGGCTCTCTGTTACCTTTGGAGTGTGTCTATCCCGGCCCACAGGACTGAAAAGTCAAGTACCCCTTGGGTTCCCAGAACCTTCAGGAATGCCCCAAGAACCAACCACCCACTGCCACCTAATGGGAGAGTTTGAGACCTATATACTTGAGTCTGCTCCAGGACAGCCACAACACCAAGGCCTGGGCAAACCACACAAGCTGGTCACTGCCTATGCTGAGGATGCTGTGGAAAACATAGACCTGAGGGTCCAGGACCCCAGCATCACTGCTCAGCCCCAGCTCCTGTTCACAGCAGCCCACAGACAATAGCAGGCAGCTGCGGCCTTCTTGCCTGTGCCAGCCTGCTGGCTCTCATGCAGAAAATAACCCCAACTGCCCAGCACATATCCGCACAGCACAACTCCTCAGCCTCCTTTCTGATTCCTCAACTCCTCTCCAACCCAAGGCCTTCTGCTCTCCGTTACACCCCAACATCTCTTCCCAGCACCACAGAGCTAAGCCCAGGTCTTCTCTGCTGGGCAGGAAAAGCAGCCTCATCAAGCAACTCCAGACTCCTTCTGATTTTTACTGTAGCCCTATGCCAGAGGGACTCCAGAAGGTGGTCCTTGCCACCCCATCAGGACATCCATGCTGAGCACCTGCTACTCTGTCATTTCAAGCCTCATATCTACCCTGGGATGAGGAAAGAGATGCTGACGGCCTCTCCATTTCTGAGCCACATTTCCCTCTTCCTCCATCTGGTCTCATTCAGCAGACATCAGAAAAGCCAATTCCTCCCTCTCAGGCTGCCAGCTCTCCTCAGAGGATAAGAGGCCATTGCAATCCCCTAAAAGCTGTTTTGAGGCCAAAGCAGCCAAGTCTGGAAGGGCCACTGCTGCCCAATCCTCCCGCTCCCAAGGGAGACTGCTGGGCTGCAGCAGCCCTGCCTGAAGCCACTTGCCATCTTTCAGCACCAAGCAGACAATGGTGTCGTGGTTCTGTGTATGGTGTTACACGTGGCCTTCTACAGAATACGGGGGCTCCTGAAACTTCCTAGTGTGTTGGCCTCAGCATGGCTCCAAGTGTGGCCACCCAATGTTACCAAAGGAAACATGAGGGGAGTGGGGAGGAAGACACATGAATGACCTTAGGTAAGGGACGTGTGGAGGAGGAGAGGAGGATGCTACGAAGTTTCCTTGCCCTGGAGTCTCCACAAGGCAGGGGAACTTTCTAGAACCTTTATCAGCAGCTTTCAGCAAGCTGAGCATGCTAGGCCCATGAGGCTTTGGAAGTAGTTGACATGAGCCCCACCTGAGGAAGTGCTCAATCCAGAGAGAGGTTTGCAACCCCCCAGCATTTGGCCTGGCAGGAAGAATTGTCCAGAAAAGCATGCCCAGAGGTCAAGTTTCTGAATGGCGCAGGGCACAGCAGGGATAGCTTTGCCACAGCTTTGTCTTTTAAGAGCTGTTGTTTTTTCAGTGCTGGGGCCCAACTTGGGGCCTCATGCATGCTAAGCATTTGTTGTACCATTTGTGAACACTTCAGTTCAAGGAAAAGCATGCCAGGCCTATGCAATTATGACAGAATCTGGAGACGAGAAACACCAGTCCCCAGGTAGAAATCCAGGACCCCTGCTAATCTGCACTGGTTGCTGCCACCACCAAGAAAATCAACTGCCTGAGTCCTTCCTGTGGCTGGTCACAGAAAGGGCACACTCAGAGGACTCTCTTATGAAGCCCCACATGACCTCAGGAGTCCAAAGTCATCACATACCGCTCCACAGTATGTTCAAAAAACATTACTTCCAAAGAATGGTGTCCCTTGAATTGTACACTGTGGAGGTCTGAGGACACCTCTTATTGTGCAGCTACCCACCATCTACTAGAAACCCACAACAACAAGAACAGATTTTTAGAAAAGCAGAAGCATGTTATTTTTCCTTAAATGATTTTTTAAGACAATGTCTTACTATAAGTTTGAAGCTGGCCTCAAACTTATGATTCTCTTGACTCCACCTCCCAAGTGCTGGGATTATATGCATGTGTCATCATTCCTGGCCAGATTTAATGATTTCTGAAATGACTTGCTTATGGACTGATACAGACTTTTTTAGCTGGGGTGGTGAGTGAGCAGAAAGGAAAGGCAGACCTGAAGCTAATTTCTTTCTTTTTTTATTTTACAGCTATCAGGCTTTGGCCTGTAGGCCTGTAAATTTCCAAGACTTCCAGCCTCCCCTTGATTTTCCATGAGTGGACCCAGCAAAACTGTTCCCAGCATGCATTTAACATCACACCCACTAGGCGGCAGGATGGTCGAGGCCACGCAACACCTGACCAGGCCAGCCACGTCAGGCTTCTGGGCGAGGTGGTATAAAGTCGAGTCAGATTTGAGTATTGGAGTCATTTCTGTGTTGGGCTTCTATTTAAAGACACTCAAGGTCAACCCTAATCATCAGATCACACAGGACTTGAGCTACTGTGGCAGGTGACACTGAAAAGAGAGAAGCCATTGGGATGAACTCCTGATTCTTCTATTCTACTCCATAGGCAGCCAACATTGGAGCTGCGACACCCCCACCCCTCCCTGAACTGTCCCTTGTCCAGGGCTGTGGTCAGAGCTGCTGCAGCCACAGCAAACCACACTTGTACACCGACTTTCCAGGCTTTCACGTTCTCAACAGAGAAGGGAGGAGGGTACAAATTACCCAGGCTGGTGCCAAGGGCGTGAGCATCCGAGAAGCCCAGGAGCTGGACCTGGGAGAAGGGAGTGATATCTAGAAGATTCTGTGTGTGGCTCAAAGAAATCCAGTAGAGTTAGGCAGAGTAACCAGGTCCCACTGAGCCATGCCACGGCTCCTGCTTGCTAGGATTTGAAGGTTTGTGGCCCCCACAATTCATCTGTTGAAACCCAATCCCTAGTGTGTTGAGAATAGCAGGCAGGCCTTTGGGAGGTGATTATGTCACAAGGGTGGTGCCAGTGCCCTTCATGGAAGAGGACTGAGAGAGCCCATTTGCCCCTCCATGATATGAGGCTACGGCCAGAAGATTGTCCCCTGTGAGCCAGGTCCTCGCCACATACCACATACGCCTTGATCTCAGACTTCCTGGTCTCCAGAACAGTGAGGAATAAATTTCTGTTCTTTATAAATCACTCAGTTTATGGTATTTTGTTATAGCCGCCTAAACAGACTAAATAGTATTTCTGACTCTGAGCGATAATATGACCAGAGGGGAGGTCCTGGGAGGTCTGGTAAAGAGCTAACTAATAATGACATAGCAAATTAAGTGACGGATAAAGATTACAACTACCCACTTCCTACCACACGCTAGCATCCCAAATCCCAGTCTTGCCCTGGAAGGCCAGGCGGGAGGAGTTGCCATTTGAATCCGGTCTAATTTACCATGACCCCTGCACGCCCCCGCTGAGGACACATCCAGTGCAGGGTGACACTGTTAATCAGGTCATTCTTCCGGGCTCAGTAGGAACAGACCCTGGAACATACCCTGGCCCCTCTGGGAAATCCACTGTCAGGACCTTCAGCAAACCAGACAAACTTCAGGCAGTTAAAGGGAAGGACAGCTCCACCTGTCATTGGGTGACTGTCATCCTGGGTATGTCTTGGAGCCAGGCCAACCAAGAGACCACATGGAACAGACAACCTGTGACCTTTACAAAGTGTTTTGTGGCCATCTGGGAATCTGTTACCTCTGCTTGGGGAGGGGGAACCACCACACATGCACACACAGGCCCAGACATCCCCCACAGGCGTACACGCTGGAGCCTACCCTCTGAGTGGCGTGATTCAGCATCTCCTGCCAGGCAGAGTCAAACTGTCGCTTGTCATCCTCCAGCAGCCGCTGCTCTGCCAGGGAGATGGTCTCTTTGGCAGCACGGAGCACCTCTGTGGCCCTCTGGAAGTCCTGTGTGGCCTTCTGAGCTTCCAGCTGAGCCTGTGAGAGAAAGAACTGTGAGGCCTCAGGCAATGTCAGGGTCTCCCTGACATCCCCCTAGAGATAAGCACAAGGACTAAGACACGCCCTGTCCATCCACCTTTGCCTGTCCACTCTTAGTACAGGCTGGCACCTCAGATCCTTATCCATGGAAAGGAGTAACAGGTACCTGATTAGAGAGTGGCCACCAGATGGGCAAGTAAGTTTCCATGGTCTGGAACTCAAGAGATTAGATAAACCTGTGTGCCCTCAGATTCCAAATGGCAACAGTTAGAGCCAGCAATGGCCTTCCTTTCGCTGAGGCTCTGGTTCATCCTCCCTGTGCAAATCCAAGGTTCAATTCATGGTGTGTCAGAACAAGAAAGGACTTGGAAATTATGGTCCAACAGCTTCTATAGGATGGGGAGCTGTGGCCAAGTTCACAGCCTTCCCCAAAGCTGGCTAGGAACACAGCTATAGCCAGCCTCCTGGCAGTGCTGCCTCTGCCAGGCAGTTGCCCTCAAGCCAAGCTCACCAACAACAGTGACAGGCCAAGTATGGCTGCAGCTAGGCCCAGGGAAGGAATGAACTGTAACATATAGTCCCACTGTTTAAGAAGCATCCCAGGGGAAAGCCAACAAGTATTTTCCAGAGCTGTCACCAGCATGGGGGGCCCCTAGAACATGTGATTAATCCAAACTGAGTGCAAAACACCACTAATTTTAAAGACTTTTTTTATATTGACTGCATGATCAAATAATATTTGGGGTATACTAGGTTAAATAAAATATATTAAAATTAATTTCACCATTTTCCTTTTACTCTTCTACTGTGACTACCAAGAAATTTAGAATTACACAAGTAACTCACATTCGATTTTTTTGCAGGTATAGACATCCCTGCCCCAAGAGTGGGCCACGTATGACTGCATCAGTAATCAACCACAACGCCACAATGCACTACGGTCACCACCCTGCAGGCTCACCTTGAATTTCACCAGGACACAAGCAAGCCACTGCCAACTTGGGCCACTGCCACATCCCACCCCCACCCTTGGTTAACTGGATTTCAAGTCAGTTATGTAAGTCCTGGTGAGACACCCACAGGACAGCCCTTGGGACTTCAGAGGGGAATAACACCCTTGCCCCAGAGAGATTCTCACATGACTTAGAGGAAGTATGCAGGAACCACAGGCTGAGGACACTTCCTGAAGAAAGTTAAGGGGGAAATAACCGAGTGGTTAGGACTACCCCAGCCCTCAGGGCAAGAACCAGCTTTGTGCTGCCTCCCAGTGCCTGCTCACTGCACCCCAGCCACAGCCATCCAGGTGCCAGAAATCTGCTCAGGAGGCTGCACTTTTCATGGAACAGAACTGTGATTGTCATGCTGCAACACTGTGTGTGAGAGCCACATGGGTGGGTCGTAAATACAATAAGGGAATTTGGAGGAGAATTACTTCCAGTACAGCGAGTAGGGAAGCCTTCTTAAAGGAGAGGATATTGAACTGGAGACTGGAGGCCCCAGATGACTTGCAACTGGTGGATGGGGACCAGGAGGAAGCACCTGCAGCTCTGAACACATGTTATGAACATAGTATCTGTAGGCGATTTGACCAATCCTGGGAACCAAGTTCTATAATAGAATCAAGAGCAGGGGTCTTGAATGAAGCCCAGGCTAACTGTTGCATCAAAGCAGTCCAAGGAACTGCCTGCTGTGGACCCACTATGTGCAGCTGGGTCCAGCCATGCACATTCACTGAGGTGTATCTCAGACACGTGATGGAGATAGGGAGGCCTACTCTCTCTAGAACTGACCAACTCACTGAGAAGTAACCGGACAGCACAACATGCTCTCAGTCACACGATTCACCCTCCATCTGCCCAGACAGGGCAGTGACGCGTGAAGTGTTCCACCCTCCTTCCACTTACAGTTGGCCTTCACCATCTCCAACAGATGGTCAGTCGTCCATCCCATGAGCTTCCAACCTTTTTTAAAATGGGACCTGTATATATATATTTTTTTCTTTAGGAACTCTTAGAACTTAAATTCAGCAACATTGAAGAGCAAACTCTTTTTCCCTGCATCTCCTGCTTGCATTCTGAAACTCTCCAGAACAGACACATTGTGTTGGCTACAGCAAAGGTTCGAGGTGGAAGCAGGTTTGCAGATCACCCAGTTCAGGCCCCTCATTTTTCTAAGGAGGGTCCTGAGTAACGAGGCAACTTGCTGATAACACACAGCCATCCTGTGGCCTGCCAGAGCCAGGAACCCAGAGTCCCTGGCTCCTGTGCCATGTGATGCATGACAGGCTGGGTAACCTTGGCACTGACATCACCACTGGACAGTTGGGAAGTCCACCTGTCAGTGAGTTGAGATAGGAACTCAAACCACACATGGGAATATCAGGTGCCCCTGTGGCTCCTGTCCCGCAGCCTCACAAAGGCCTCACACCATGCCGGCCAGAGAGCTCTGGACATGCGCAGAGGAAGGCTGCTCAAAGCCACACTCTAGCAGGGGCTGGTTCCAGGTCACATGAGCTCAAAAGCCCAGGCCATCCAGTACCTGGCGGCTAACAAACCATAGTCTGGATCCTGATGTTTACGGAGGAGAAAAGCACTGCAATTACTGCTGGAACGTTCACTCTGCGTGATAATGCACATAAAGTTGTTCCAAATACAGCGCCTCATCTAAATCTTAAAATAGTGACAGGCCAGCCCAATTTTCCTTCCTTCCATTTACAAACGGGGGTCTCACTGTGTTGCCCATGTTAGTCTTGAACTCCTGGGCTCAAGCAATCATCCAGTCTCAGCCTCCCAAGTAGCTGGGACTACAGATGTGCACCACCAGGCTTGGTTACCCCTACTTTATGAAGGAGGCCAAGAGGCTTGGAATGGTTCAAAACACTGACAAAAATCATACAGCAACCAAAGATGGAGTCAAATTCAAATCCTGACCCAGAGTCTCCATCTTAAACTTCTATCACATACCACCTGCTCAGGTTTAAGCTCCTCAAGCTGAGTTGGGCCTTTCTACTTTGCCCTAATCAAAGCCACACCAGCCACTGCTACAAAGATCAGATGGTTGGGAGGTCTGCAGGGAGTTGCTGTGAAGACCGAATGAGGAGTGAGAGGAGTGGGCCAGTGCTCTAAAAGCCAGGCTCATAACCAGCCAGTGGCCAGGAGTGGATGGTGGAGTCTGGAGAAGGCTGGTCCCCAAAGACATCCTGCCTTCTCCAAGCTTACCCTCTAGTACACCCTAACACATTTTTTCAGTGCTTTAAGGAATAACGTGAATCCCACTCAGCCAGGAGGATGAATGAGACCCAAGGAGTCCAGAGAAGTCAAAGTTTTTCTGCCTACTGAAACCTTACATCCATTCTAAGCACAGGCCTCCACCCTCACCACCCCGTAAACACCGTTCACATCTGAAACCCAAAGCGATCCTCTGCGGTTTACTTAGCCATGAGTGGGTTCAATGTGCATATAGTCCCTAATGTGTGGCCAGAGCAATTACGGAACAACAAAGCAGCTTCCAGAACCCCTTGGACACATGGGCATGGATTGGGAGAAGGGAAGATCCCACTTTCTTCTAAAGACTGTTGGGAAGACACCAGTCCCAGAGAAGCAGAGATGGTTCAAATGAGGGGGAGACCAAGGAGGACCACAGTCAGCAGTGAGACCAGAGAGGGAGGCACAGTCAAAGGGCAAGGAGTCTGGCTCCTTTTTCCCTCAGTGTGACAGTGCCCATGCCAAGGAGCCAGGACAAGGCCAGCGGCGTCCTGTCCGTGGTTTTTAAAGTGTTGCAATTTTGTCCTTACCTCTTTCTAGTGAAGGTTGTACCCACAGCTGGAAAGAACACTCCCCAGCTAGAAGCTCAAGAAGAAAGGTCTCGAATTCCTTTCCAAACTAGCTGAGAAAGATTGAAATCCTTTGAAAGCCTGGTTCAGACCCCCTGTAAGCTTGTGAGGGAGGGACTGCCAGGATTAGCATCAAAGTGGACAAGAGATAAGGCATTGTCTCCAGTTTTACTAAAGCTGTGATTTCTGTCCACTTTCTGGGGACCTAGGAACCAGCAGTTGATAGATTGCTTGAGCCTTTCTATCCAGAGCGCCTTGTCGTACCCCCTACCCAGCTTCTGCAGGATGTTAACCCAGAGGTCTGTGCCAGCCATTCTGATGCCACCCTGTTACCTCTGAGGATGTTCTGGACACAGTATTTTAATCAGAATTACCATTAAATAGTTTTCCATTCAAAAGCACTTTCTAGAGACAATTCCATTACGCCCATTTAGTGCCTTGACTTACATTCTGTGTTCTCGTTACTGGAGGTCTTGGCTAGAGGCCTGATTCTGGGTGTTTCTGTTTTTGTTTTGTTTTGGCGATAACTGGGGCTTTAACTCAGGGCCCCACACTTGCTAGACAGGCTCTCTACCACTTGAGCTACTCCACCAGCCCATGATTCTGGGGCCGGGGGTGGGAGGGGGGGCAGAGGGGGGTGGGGTGGAGTGAAGCTTAACAGACCAGGTCTTTTCTACCACTTCGAGAGTTCAATTAGTAGAAGGAAGTAGCAGTGAAGCAGGAAGAGAATTGATTTCAGCTTGAGACTGAGAAGAACAGCTGGTCTAGAAAACTGTCTTCCCTATTGGGACAATAGCTCCAGAATTAGAGGACAAAAGCAGGGCGCCAAGAGACCTGCAGGTGGCTAGCACTGTGGGGTCCTGCTAGCTGAGGACCATAGCAAGTTGCAGGTCGGCTGGCACCAGGGCCTGGGGAAGGGGGGGACCACACCTTGCCTTCCCACCATAAGATGACTGCCTGCAGGAAGCTGGTTAGGAGAACAAAATGGAGTCACACAGGTCAATGGGTGTTTTTTTCTTTTTGGTGATACTAGGGTTAAACTAAGGACCTTGTGTTTGCTAGGCAGGCACTCTACCACTTAAGCCATGCCCTCAGCCCTTTTTGCTTTAGTTATTTTTCAGATAAGGTCTTGTGTTTTCTTGCCTAGGCTGGCCTTAAACTGTGA